CTAGAATGGGAGGGCGGGGTATAAATCTTAATAAATAAATAAATAAATAAATAAATAGCTAGCTTGGAGAATGGCGTGGTTTCAGATGCAGGCAAACGACAACAGCAGGTGTGACTGGACTCTGCGTGATGTGCAGAGAGGGGTAGTAGGCGTGGAGAAATCAGCATCGGTAATGAGACAGGAAACCGGGGTCTCCCTTCAGTCCAGGTGGACGCATTGGCTTCAGTTTCGTTATCAATTGCAGTTCAGCAGTCTCTCTTGGGTAGAATTGCGAGCCGTGCAAGGAGCAACTTGGCAAGCGGTGCCTTTGACCGAGGGGACTGTCTTTCCTGCTATAGTTTAATTACGTATGTATCCTCAGGGTCCTGTTCTGCCCTGGATGGCCCAAGCTAGCCTGATCTGGACAGATCTCAGAAGCTAAGCAGGGCAGTCCTGGTTAGTGTTTGGATAGGAGACCACCAAGAAGTCCAGGGTTGCTACGCAGAGGAAGGCAATGGCAAAACCACCTGTCAGTCTCTTGCCTTGAAAATCCAATGGCGTCACCATAAGTAGGCTGTGAATTGACGGCCCTTTATGCAAACGCACACCCCCCTAAGGGTATGTAGGAGGTGAATTAATCTGGTTTAGATACATCTTAACCAGTGCTCCCTCTAGGCTGTGCAGTCTTGTGAGCAAAAATTCTACTTTGTGAGCCATTGGCGTTAAAGTTGTGAGCGAGCGATTTGGCTACTGCACAAATTCGTTTGCTCTGGAGCTGAGCTGAGACAAAAATGTGTGAGCCGGAGGCTAAAAAACTGTGAGCTAGCTTGCACTAACTCAGCTTAGAGGGAACACTTAACCCATCTTGGTTAGGATTGCTAAAATGTAGTTAAGGGGTGGGTTGTTGTATCCTCACCTTGTTTTGTAAATCTCTTAAGCCCACTAGACTGGAGGGAGTCTGCCTAGCATTGTGCTGTCGAAGACATTACTACAGAGGGTATGCTTTTTGCATGCATACTATACCCTGTTTCCCCGAAAATAAGACCTACCCCAAAAATAAGCCCTAGCAGGATTTCTATGCATTTGTGGTATAAGCCCTAGTGTGTCGTCTTGAGAAAAAATAAATATAAGACAGTGTCTTATTTTCAGGGAAACACGGTATGTTCGGGTTCTCCTTCCAGGACGTGCAGTAGTAACGCCCTGCCCCAAAACTCTGAGGTTCCCGTGTGGCCCAGGGGCCAGGTTGATCTTGTTGCGGTGCAGAAGCTAAGCAGGGCCGGCCCCTGGTTAGTACCGGGAAGAGAAGTCCAGGCTTGCTCTGCAGAGGCAGGCAGTGGCAAGCCGTCTTTGAGCTTCTTGAAAACCCTACGGAGTTTCCATGCCTCTGCTGCAACTTGACGGCAGTTTCCCCCACCGTCTCCCGAGGATGAAGAAGCCTCCTGCGGCCAGCAGTCCTTCTCAGGGTTAAAAAAGAGCCAGGCATTCTTGCTGCATGGGTGAAAGGGCTGTTTCTTTTGTACAGAGAGGCTTTGTTCCAAATGCAAAGCGAGATCCGGTGCCTTGGTGGGGGACTTTTAAAGAGGGCCATCTCTGTATGGTTTGGGCACGTTCTAAGGCAGGTGTGATGCCTTAGTCAGAGTTTCCCAAACTTCTTAAAACTTTGCCTCTACACCATTTCTAAAAACTTTGCCTCTACACCTGCTGCAGCCATGCGACTTTCCAGGTCAATAGAGAGGCAGTGGTGTCCACAGATGAACATCTCTCACCTGCCGGGTGTTGATTGGGTAATGAAGGTCTGCAGCTTCTGACTCTAGAGGCAAATGTGGTTCGGTACAGAACCAAGTGCCCTGACCTTGGAAGCTCAGGCTAGTCAGATCTCCGAAGCTAAGCAGGGTTCAGCCCTGGTTAGTATTGGGATGGGAGACCTCCCAAGGAACGCAAGGGTCGCGACGTGGAGGCAGGCAGTGGCAAACCACCTCTGACCGTCTCTTGCCTTGAAAACCCTACAGGGTTGCCATAAATCAGCTGTGACTTGATGGCACTTTCCACCACCACTGAACCAAATACAGCGTTTTTTACAAAAAATTGATTCATTATTGGAAGGGTAGGTGGGGTGCAAAAATAGCCAGTGTGTAAAGGGAGTGGCAGGCAGATATGTTTATGGGACTAAGTGACTTCTTAGAGAAAATGCAACTAAATGGCTTCTTTACAGAAATGTAAAATGGCTGAAGTGAACAGTTGCCAGTAGCCCAAATATGAGCTATGCATAGACTTATGCCTCTGCACTATTGTGCAGGGTCATGCTTATCATTTCTTGTGAGTCCTTGTGTGTGCCGCTTCCTAATAAGGGACTCGCGGCAGCCAGTGTTTGGCTGCAGAAACTTTATGGATTATTGATCTGCCTGTTAGTTATCAGCAGTGAAGAGCAAGTATAGCCTAGTGATTAAAGTGTTGGACTACAGTCTGAGAGACCCAGGTTGGGTTCCCCACTGTGCCACTGGAACATGGCGGGCGACTTTGGGCCAGCCACGCACTCTCAACTGAGCCCGCTTGCGGGGAGGGCGGGGTATAAGTTTGATAAATAAATAAATAAACTCTCAACCTAGCCTCTCTTGCAGGGTTGCTGTGAAGATAAAATGGGGGAGAGGCGAACGATGTAAGCCACTTTGGGCTCCTCTTGGGGTGAAAGATGGGATAGAAATGAAGTTACTATTTTCATTCGTTGTAGATTTTCCGGGCTGCGTGGCTGTGGTCTTGGCATTGCAGGACCTGATGTTTCGCCAGCAGCTGTGACTGGCATCCTCAGAGGTATAACACAGAAAGATGACACAGAGAGTCCTCCATCTTTTTGTGCTATACCTCTGAGGATGCCAGTCACAGCTGATGGCGAAACATCAGGTCCTACAGTGCCAAGACCATGGCCACGCAGCCCGGAAAATCTACAACAACTAATGGACTCCGGCCGTGAAAGCCTTCGACAACATATTAATATTTTCAGTTAGGCAAATAAGCTTTCTTTGTCGATCTCTTGTTCTGAATTTTGACTCAGTTTGGGTCTTAATTATTTTTTTTTAAAAAAGGGGGTTGTTGATCTGTGATCTAGAATATCTGCTCCCTCCCTGGAATTCCATGTGCCGTCTCCCTCCCCGTCTCCTGTTCCAAAGCTGTCTTGCCTGTGGCTTAAAGGCATAAGATGAAATGCCAACCTTTGCAAAGGGAAAAGCAACTCCGAAAGATCCTCTGCTTGCCTGGGACTTCACCCTCCCCCCTTCTGCTCCACCCTGGGGTGCTGCCTCAGCCCGAGTGTACCTAACCCCCTTGCAGCCAGTGACTTCATGGGAGGATCCCATTTTATGCTTCCACTTAATAGCCTGCAAGTAGCCACTAGTCCCTGTGGTGAGTTGAAGCAATTGGGGAAGGGAGGAAAGCTGGCTTGAACACCTAGGATGTCCTTTGCCCAAGGGTTTTTTCCCCATCTGGCAGCCCCTGTCCCGGTCGGTCCCCCCACACCATTCTCGATACTTAATATTCCTTTTGTGATTTAAAATACAACGCACCTGAAATCTAGATGGCATCTGGAGCAAAAAGGCAAAGCTGCAGAGAGCGGTGGCATAGGGAGTGCGTAAGGTTGCCAGCTTTAAAAACTCCTGTGGTTTGTGGCCTCTGCACGCCCTCAGACAGCAGTTTGTGGTCTGCAAAGAACTGCCTGCTCTGCTGGCTTTTGAGCAAGCTGGAAATTAACCTCTTTTGCTGTGCTTTCTGATGGAGGAGGGATAGTGTGTTCAGAGAGATCATCGTATTGCTGCCAACACCCTGGCGATTAACAAAAGAAAAAGAGAAGAGTGGTCATATTCATGCCCTTGCTTGGATACATGAACCCACCCGATACGTAGACCTGTTCGTGTTACTTCGATCCTGCATGTACATGCATACATCTGTTTGTAAGAAAGAGCTAGTGCGTGGTGTTGTTACAAATGAAATTGGAGATCAGTACCTGGATAAAGGAAGAGGAGCTGTGGTGGCTCAAGTGGTTAAGACGCTGAACTGCAGGCTGTGGGAGGTCTGTTCAGCGGTTTGAGACCCGAGTGTGCCGCATGACAGAGTGAGCTCCTGTCTCTATTTCCAGCTCCTGCCAACCTAGCAGTTCGAAAGCAAGAAATTGCAAGTAGATAAATAGGTACCACTTTGGTGGGAAGGAAACAGCGTTCTGTGCGCCTTGGTGTTTAGTCATGCCGGCCACATGACCACGGAAACGTCTTCGGACAGCGCTGGCTCTTCGGCTTTGAAACGGAGATGAGCACCGCAACCCTAGAGTTGGATACGACTGGCTTCGAGCAAGGGAACCTTTACCTACCTGGATAAAGGTACCCCAGGTATCAGTCACATTCAGTGCCAGTGCCCCCTCTAAGCTGTGGAGTCTTGTGAGCAAAAATTCTACTTTGTGGGCTACTGGCATTAAAGTTGTGAGTGAGCGATTTGGCTGCTTTCATAAATTAGTTTGCTCTGGAGCCATCCCTTCCTGAGCTAAGACAAAATCGTGTGAGTCGGAGGCTAAAAAAACTGTGAGCTAGCTCACACTAACTCATCTTAGAGGGAACACTGTTCAGTGCATGTACAACTGAATGTGTAATATAAAAATAACTCAGGAACAAGAGATTGGATTTATACCCCGCCCGTCACTACCTGAAGGATTCTCAGAGCGGTTTACAATCCTTTCACTTCCCCATCCCACAACAGACACCCTGTGAGGTAGGTAGGGCTGAGAGAGCTCTTCCTTTTTCCG